CCAACAGCACAGCAGTCTGCACTGGTCAGGATGAAGTTAGCCAGGTGAGGGACATGGTTGTTCCCTGTTATTTAGCACTTGGGGGGCTGTATCTGGAGCAGTGTGCTCAGCTTGGGTCTCTCACTGCAACAGAGCTTGGTTGAGTGCAACAAGTCCAGCGGGGTGGCACTGGGGCTGCTGGGGCTGCTGGGGGCACCTCCCCAGGAGCAGGGGCTGAGGGACATGCTCAGCCACGAGAAGAAAGGCTGAGGGGGACCCAGCTGCTCTTGTCTTTGAGTGAATGGGTGTTACAGAGAAGATGAGACCAGACCTTCCCTAGAGCAGCACAGCAAAAGGACCAGGGATCACAGGCAAGCTGCAACAAGGGACATTCTGGTCAGACACAGGTTTAAAAGCAATCCCAGTGCGAGCGATCAGACAGCAGCACGGGGGACTCAGGACACTGTGGGATCTCCACCTCTTGAGATGTTCAAAGCTTAGCTGGACAAGGCCTCGACAACCTGGTCTAGCTCTGAGGTGAGCCCTGTTCAGGGCAGAAGCTGGACTCAACCTCTCCAGAGGCCCCATCTGACCAAAACATTTGTGTGATTCTATAATTCAACCAAACTTAGGGCAATGCAGGAACGAGCTGGCACCAAGGAGGCACCCTGTGGCTTCTCACAAGCACCAACTGCACGTGTGGAAGCTTATGGTTTGAAGGAAGCTTTGGGCAGAATAAAGCAAGAAGCATCCCACATTGTCCACACATGGCAGCTTTTAGATCTCTTGTTTGTCTTTAAGATGCTACAAAGGCAGTCTGCATTGAGAAGCAGTGTAAGGTAAGCAGCTCACCTGGCTGGGTGGAAACGCAGGAGAGGTGGATGCTCTGATGCTGCCACTCACTCCTCGGGGTGCTGGTGCCCTCTAGGTGCTGCTTACAGGCTGTTCAGCTGCTCGGGGTGGGTGAAGGACACTCAGCCCCCAGCTGATCACATTGCACAGGGAAATGGGAGGTGTTTCTGCTCTTCTGCTGCCTCTGTTTCTGGCCCAGTGTGCTGAGGTCCACGGAAACACATGGTGTAGGGTTTGTAAGGGAGGAGGGGTTTGTGTTTGCTGCTGGGGACTGGACACACCATCTGTACCACATCACCCCGTGCAGCTTTCTCCTGCCAGCCTAGGAGGCCAGCTCTTGCTTTCCTGGCTGGCAGGGGTGGGAGCTGGGCATGCTCCCCAGCAGCTCTGCTCCAGGGCCTGCAGAAGGAGGCAGCACAGCACAGCCCTGCTGACTGGCAGCACGCTCTGCCCAGCCTGCCACCAGTCCCTGGCACCTCCTGCCCGAGCTGAGGCACAGGGACTCATTTACCACCCACGTGCCACGGCAAGGGCCACGGGGCTGCCGGGGAGAGGGTGACTCCCTCCCTGACACATGGTGTCTGGGGACACTGGTGCTGGTACCTGCTGCCAAAATGGGAGCTTTTTGGTAAGCTGGGGAGCATATGGGAGGTGAACCCAGCCAGGTCCTTCCCTGTCTCGGGCTCTGACAGCACTGGGCTGGCTCTGTGCTCTGAGTGTACCTCACCCTCTGTGCCCACGGCTGGCCCACGTGGAGCCCTGCAGCCCTGGCCAGCCCCCCGTGGTGACCTCGAAGGCCCTGGGCCTGGGCAGTGCCTCTGCCCTTTTCCCATGACATCCCTGACCTGCAGGTCAGCTGAGTTTATCCTGCCTCCAGTGATCCTGGCTGTTTTCACAATCCAGCTGTGCTCCCTGCCAGCCCTTCCCTGGCATGATCATTCCTGTTCTGCTGCACCCACCTCCTAGAAGGAGGGGAGGGACCTGCAGCCAGGTGAGTCTGGAGCCAGAGGACCTGCAGCCCAGGCCACCAAAGCAGCCCCTTCAGGAGACGGGGCAGGGATGAGCCCAGCTGGGTTTACCAGCCTTCCAGTGGGCAGATTTTAAGGAAAAAAGAGCACACAGATCAGGCAACCTTCCTGGCCCCCCCACCCACTGTGCCTTTTGGCTCTAGCCTCTCTGGTGCCACCAGTCTGGGATTTCCTGGGACACGTGTGACTAAGTGGCCAAGAGATTTGGCTTCAGCTCAGTTTTAAGGGAAGAGGAAACTGCTGCTTTCCCAAAAACCTCTCCCGAGGTGTGAGAAACCTGCAGAGGCTCTACCCCTTTCCCACCAGCGCCAAGTTCCACAGAATTTTGTATTTAATTTGGCATTTAAATCAGCCTTCACCCAAAGCTGCCTTAGTATTGAACAAGTGCAAACCAGCTCTGGGCAGATGAGTGTTTGTGTGCAAAGCCGTGGCAGGGGAGTCACCCCCACCAGGCTGTGAGCAGTGGAGATCACCCTGCCCTGCACCAGCAGGAGTGCACACCCTGTCCCTCTGTCCATCCCCCAGGTCTGCTGCTCTGGGGCCAGGGTGCCTTCAGGAGGCACCTTCTGGTCTGTGGCAGTCAGTGAAGGAGTCGGTGTCTGGAATTTGGAAAACACACATAGTGAGAGCAAACTTTGCTCTTTTTTCTCCACTTTGCTCTCACTTCTCCTCCTAGCTTGTCCCGTTGCTCCACCAAAGTCCCCTGAAAGAGGGGAGCTGGCTCTGGTTTAATGCATTTTCAGCTCCTCCTGGGACAGACTCTAGCTACACTGAAGCCATCAGTGCCACCACATCGGCTTGAAAACCTCATTTCTTGAAAGTCTGGTGTTGTTTCAAGCACATCCACCCTCAGTCTGCAAGTCAACAGCTTACATCGTGGCTTCACATGTCCCCTTCACAACCTAGTCCCCAGTGTTGCATTTAGCAGCCTTGAGTTTCCCCTTCCCTCCTCTGGGTTAAACGTGTGGAACTGTGTAGGTGAAGGGGATGGGAAGAGGGGAGGGTAAGCATTGTTTCCACCCCAGATTTACTAGAGAAAGGCAAGATTTCCTGTGACACATTTCACACCAAGGCCTAGGAGGGCACTTTCTCATGCCAGGGGGTTCAGAAGACCCCAAAGTCCCTGTGCTGCTCTTCAGTGCTGGCAGGCCGAGCAGGGAAGCCTCATCCTGGCACATTCTGGACAGCACCGAGGAAGGGATTTGCTTGCCAGGAACATATGTGGCAGAACAACATACCATGTGAAAAATCATGAGAGAGGAATCCTATAAAACAGGAGAGTGCAGCCTCGTGCCATCAGGAGCATTTAAATAATAATAATCATCATCATTTTTCCTTTGATATTGCTTCTATTTTCAAATAAAAATATTACAAGTGTTCAGAACTCCAGAAAGCCATATTTTTACAAGCTGAATTAAACACCTACAGGCTCCTTCCCTAGCCTTAATTATGCAAATATCCAGCAAGATGTAAGTGAATAAACACAGGAATATAGTTGCAGCAGACCCAGACACATGCAGTGATGCCAAGATCCCATCCCCTCTCCTGCATTTGCTTGCTGTGACTTTGGTTTATATTGTTTCACTTCTTGAGCACTTGAATCAGCTTTCTCTGCTGCAGGAAAGTGGCATGGAGAAGCTCCTGCCCCTCTTCTGCACACTCAGGCAGCTGAGCTCTGCTCCACAGTGACAGCTCTGCAGCAGGCAGTGTCTCTGCTGTCCCCCTCCAGCTGCAGTCCCCTGGGTGAGCCACTGAACCCACGGGGAGCTGCTGCTGCCACCCCACCAGCCAGGAGAGGAACAGCAGCCCGAGGAGGAACAGCAGCCTCCCACAGTCAGGCTGCTCAGGTTTTTATTCATTAAATATTCCACATACAAAGGGCTAAATAAATATATAGCTGTCAGTCACCACTGTACCATGCAACACCCACTAGGAGAGCTGTGGATTTATATAGGACATAGGAGAAGCTATTTACCCAACACAAGGCAGGCGACAGAAGATTCCGACGCTGCACTCATCACAGTGCACACAGCACACACACACACAAACACACCCACACAGACACACCCACACAGACACACCCACACACACCCCCAGCACACACAGACACACCCACACACACAGACCCCCCTGTTCCTGCTCGCTCCTTCCTGGGCAGGAGGGTGCCCTCCCTCTGTACCCTGGCTGCCAATGCCACAGACCCACTCAGGAGGAGGCAGAGCCCAGGGCTCACGGGACACATCCCAGCAGCTCAGCACAAGCAGCTGCATGGGGGTGGGTTTGTCTGCAGGGACCCCCAGCTCAGGGAGGTGGGGAGGGTCAGGGGGGTAGCAGGGGTAGGCAGGGTTCAGGCAGGGTTTGTGGGGCTGGGCAGGAACCCTGGGCAGCTCAGCTGGCAGTGTGCTCAGGAGCCAGGGCTGGGAGGGAGGCTGGTGCTAGAGTGCAGCTCAGGAAGTGTGCCAGGGTAAACAGGGGCAGATGCTTTTGTCATTTTCTTTCCCCTCTACACTGTGGTCTCTAGGTGATGAGGAAGGGGTTGGAAGTGAACAAGAAGATGACAAAAGGAATACTCCTCCTCTCTCTGTCTGCTCTCCTCTAATCCCTGGAGGAGCCAGGCGGGGCTCGGAGTGGGTACAAAGTACTGGTGGACAGGTAAGGGTGTCCTTGGTAGTACCTGTGTTCATGGGTGGGCAGGAGTGGGGATGTGTAGGGCTTATGCTCTGCTCCTGCCTCTACTCCCACCAGGTGTGGGGCACAGGCATCCCTGTGAGATGATGAAAGCAAGTCGTGGCCGCTGCAGAGCCAGTCGGGCACCCAGCTGGTGATGCTCCTGCTGCTCTGGCACTGCAGCACTCCTGCTGGGAACAGGCCAGGCCAGGCTCTTCCCAGCACCTCAGGAGAGGTGAGCTCCATCCCACGGAGAAACACAGTGAGCACAGGGACAGGTGGCCAGAGTGGTGTCTGGAAGTCGTGTCTGAGGGATGGGAAGGGGTCCCACGGGTGCCTGTGCGGGGAAGAGACGACCTCTCTTCTCTTCTGCCAGTGTGGGTTGTCTCTTCTGCAGGACCGACTGCCTTGCCACCCCGTGGCCCCCTCCCCACGCCGCTGCTGCAGGCTCAGTCCCTGCCTGCTGCAGAGCTGCTACTTGGGGCCCTGCCCACCGGTGTAGTCCTGGTACGGGCTGGTCCGGGCCTTGGGCCGGGGGATGGAGAAATCACTCTGGGGTTCCATGGTCTGAAAAGGAAGCATGAAAGTCTTTACCTTCCAAAACTGGAAAGAAACAATAGAATAATAGGACTTAAAAAAACAGAGGAGAGAGAAACAGAGCTGAAGGTTTCCTGAGAGTGTGAACAAGGGGGCTGTGGAAGAGGAGCCTGTCAGAAGAGACCAGTAGTGGAGACACATCACCAAAGGATGTGTGGGCACATGATGTGGGCACTAGACCTGACTAGGATTTGGTGTGAAGGGAAACTGGTGAGTGGACATGAGACATGCAGACTGCTCACTCTGGGTCTGCACTGCAGCTCCCAGTTGCTTCTGGTGGGAATACATTCGTGGCACGGGCTGGGGAAAGGAGCACAATCTCCTGAGGAAAGAGCACAGCCTACTGCAGGAACTGTGCCCCAGGAGAGGACCTCTTCCATTGTGTCAAACCCAGAAGGATTGAAAACCACAACCTCAGACTTTGCCTTGGGCTCCTCTTGCCCCCCTGTGTCCCTGGACATGTCCCAGCCCCCTCCTCACAGCTCCAGGCACCTCCATGAATCCTTGTGGTGTCCCCCAGCCCGTGAGCACCCCCCTGCCTCCACAGGAGCTGCTCGAGATCCACCCCCCCATGCCCCTAACCCTGACCCTGACCCTGATCTCAGCGCCTGAGTAACACCCTGCACGTGGGGAAAAGGTCACAGGGACAGGGACTCACCTTCATCTGGAAGTGAGAGGAGTACGGGGAGTAGCTGAGGTCTCCTGGGTTTCCTGAGTTGGAGGAGAGGAGGCAGTGAGTGAGTGAGCACTGGGTGGCAGCTTGGGAACACCACACCAAGGGCGACCCACAGGGCCCGTGGCCACGTTAGCAGATGCAACAGGCAGGCAGGAGGGGGGTTAAAATCCATAGGTAGGTGACTTATTAAATGTTTTCTTATGAAAAGAGGAATGAATGGTATTGTAAATAGGACATAGGTGGCCTTGGAGTTTAGACACGTCCTGTTGCCTCACAGTTAGTGTCATCACCACCAGCCAAATCCCTCCCACCTGCATGCACAAGACCCCTTCTGCAGCACTCCCTGAGAGAGCACAGCCTTTCTCAGCTGTTCTGTCACAAAGGTGGGGGTCTGACTCCAGGGGACAAATGTGATCTCAGTAGGCAGATCCATGGGAAGTACAGCCATATCTCCTACCCACAGATTTGGGAAGCCTCAACTGATGAAACATTTTTGCTTTGTCCTAACAGGCATGAGACTCATACAGAAAAGTGAGACCTCCTTGCCTCCTCTTTGGATGATGGGTTCATTTTTAAATGGATAATGGGAAGCAGACCAGAACTGGAATAAATAATTTCCAAGGTACAACCTGGAGAGGTCTGAAGAGCTGGAGAACTTCTAAGAGAGAAGCACAAGGAGCCTGACTCTTCCCTTCCCAGACACTGGAATCACAAGGATTCAGCCCTGACACACAGTCAGTACCCCACCCAGTCACTCCTACACCCGTGTGGCGTTTGCACTGGTCCCGACTCTTTTCCCTCTTGCCTGGAGGTTCATTTTCACTCACATTTCTGAAGTTTCATCAGTCTGACACTTCTTCCTGCCTCTACCCATCCCCTTCAGATCTTTTCTCGTGGCCCTCCTACCCCCTTCAGCTGGGGAGGGGAGGGCAGGGGGGTCCCTCGCTGCCCATACCTCTCACAATCTCCTCCTGGCTGTAGGCCTGGTTGTCCACCCCAGCCTGCTTCAGGAACGTGGGCTGGCAGAAGTCATCTTCTGGAGGGTAGTCCTCCAGCTTCAGAGGAGCAGTGAGGAAACAGATTTCAGGGACGATATACATTATCAGGAAGACCCATCCATTGGACACCAGCGCGATGGCCACGACAGGATCATCCCAGCTAGGTTTCTTTAAAGCTCTGTTGCCTTTTGTGAGCATAGTGATCCACACTACCCAAATGGCAATGGAGAAGAGGATGGTGACAAAGATGTGTGCCCCGTGCCTCTTCCAGCTTTTGTACGACCCACAGAATGTGAACATGGAAACCAGGAAGGTCAGAGCCATCAAGAAGAGCACATAGATCAAAAGCATGACAAAGTCCTTGTTGAGCTCCTCCCGAGGCATATTCAGAAATTTGTCTCTCTGGTTTACTAGCATGGTGACTAAGTACTCGATGCTGATCACAACTTGTACCAGGGCAAAGGAAACAATGAGGAGCAGCAGCACCAGCCAGGAGAAGGGCTTTCTTCCTCTCACTAGTTTGTTGAGGTTGCAGGCGTGGGTGAGGAGGCACGAGAAGCACAGAGCAAAGACGACTCCAAACAGGAAGACACGAGTGGGGAGAGTCCTGGGATTCAATTTAATGATGAAGGCAAAAGTGAGACCAAAAATGCCAAGTGTGCCCAGGAGAAAGAAGAAATAGACAGAGATCATGTGCCTCTTGCTGTTGTCCTGGACTTTGCAGATGAGGAAGAAGAGCGAGAAGATGAGGAAAATGGTGACGACGACGCCCGCCGCAGCCAGGGACTCCAGGACGATGCCCCAGGCCTCCTCCATGGCACACAGCAGGTGATAGTCAGCAGCAATGCTGCCACAGCCCCGGGGAGGTGACGTGGTCATCCTCTCACCTTCCTGAGCAACCTCCCTGTGGAATGTTCCCCCAAGCTGTGGAAGAAGAAAAGACACAAGGTATTGTACCAGCCACCAGGGCGTTGCCAGCAGTGGGGAAGGGGAGGCAGGACAGAGCCTGCGGTGCAAGGACCCCACAGTGCTGAGGACACGGGGCTGAGGGAGCAGAGCCCTTCCCTTCTTGGGCACTGGCTGCATACCAGGGGCCAGGCAAGCCCCTCAGCAGGAGACAACTCACTTTGCACGTCCTCTGCAGTGTGCCTGGGGTTGTGCAGTGTGGTAGGAGCACGGGGAGCAGGGAGATGAGGCTGTCTGAGGCATTAGCTTGGTGCCCTGCAGCACAGGGACCCAGCTGCTGTGTCACCTCGGTGACAGAGAGCAGCTGCTACTCACAGTACAGTTCACACTCTTTTGACAAGCTCAGACACCACCACCTTGTGCCCGTGAATTCGGAGATGAGCAATGCAGAACAGGAACTCATTACTCTCTTTTCTGCCTTTTACTTTCTCTGAAACACTCCTGGCTTTGGTTTATGGCTATGGATGAAGGTGAACTTTAACTGCCTTTTACCTTGCAGATAACCTGGATGCCTCCAGCACAGCTCTTCTTTTTTCTATTTGAATATTACATACAGGTAACCAACCATGAGCCCTAAACCCATATTCCTCCTTCTTCATGGCCGTGCTGGCTCACAGCCCTCAGTCCCTGCCCAAGACAGAGCCTGGCGCTGGCTGGAGGCCTCACACCTCAGAGCAGGTGCCCTTCGTCCCACAAAGTAACCCCCAAGTCACCACTGGAGGAGCCCACGTGTGAGGACCAGGTCCCGACCACCCCCAGCACAGTCCTGCCCTCACACCAGGCGCCCCGTGCTGCGCGGGCAGCCTGGCTTGAGCCCGGGGGGTAAGAGGGGTTTTTGGGTGAGCTCTGCCCATCCCCTGGGGGAATTAAGTTGCCTGCTTCCCCGGGAGCCCGAGGCATGTGCAGACACCACTGCATGAAGCTGCTGGGCACTTCGTGGCCTGAGGCAGGTGCCCGGTGAGTGCAGATCTCAGGGGCCAGGGGCTACCTTCTAGGTACCAAACTGCTCATTTTGACTCATGCCTCTAGAATCTACCAAAACAAGAGTTTAGATACAATATTGGCATGAAACATGGGGGAATCTGGCCTTAATGGTGACCCACAGGGGAAAACCAAGGGCTTTCTTTCCTGATATATCAAGAGAAAAGTTAACTTGGCAAAATTTAGATTTTTTCGTGCTCGTTATGCCATTTGCCTTGATTTTTCCCTTCCAGAAAAACACACTGCAGTTCTGAGCCTGGTTCTGAAACCTTTCCAACAGGTTTTAGAGAATGTAGTTTGAGTCTTCAATAAATGGCAGTCGATCTAATCAAAAGATGAAGGAACAGGGAAAACATTACTGACTCATTCTCAGCCCCACACATACCTCAGTGTGACCTGCTTACAAACGGTGGAATATTTCTCCAGCTTTCTACCTCACTGTGTAAAAGGAGATCTGTGGCTCTTCAAAAGGCCAGCTACAACAAAATGCAAATTGTTCTACTATGCAGGGATGCTGGACTCCCCTGGGGAGAATTAAGGTAGTGCCTAACACGTGTAAGAGTTTCCTCAGATCACAGTTCACAAAATTTGGGGGATTTATATCTCTTGCACAAATAGCTGAGAGTCATCTGGACGTTTGTGACTAATAAATAATGAAACCTTCTGAAAACCTGGAGAGCAGATGCCTCAGTGTTGCCCACAGAGGTGTGCTGTCGATAGATGAGCTCATCTCCCAGCTCGGGCAGACACAAACCGGTGCCCGCTCTCGGGTGGGTTAGGAGCCCAGAACCAGGGGCAGACCCCAGAGCCAGGGGCAGACCCCAGGGCAGCACAGGGCACACCCACAGCTCGGGCTCCTGACTGGTGCCTACTGCAGGTAGTCCTTTCCACGGTTGTCTGCCACAGCCCTTGGAACAAATAGGATGGAAAGGACCTCACTGCTTTGGAGAATTGGGCCACTTGTGCCAATTTTTACTCCTTTTTTTTTTCCTAGGGTAGATGTCCTGTGAGGCATTGAATAGTCTCTGCCTTGTCTCCTGGGCAAGTGTTGCCCCCAAGAAGCCAAGTCTGCTCATCCAGCACCTCCAGAAGAGTCTGGGATTTCCGAGGGGTGCTGTGGTGACTTCACAGCTCACCTCAAACCATCATCCTCGATTTAGTGTCACACCTTCTCCCTGCAGCCCCAGCCTCCCCTCAGTGACACCTATGCATAAAACACACCCGTCCAGCCAGATTTCAAACCCTCTCCCAGAAGTCTGCCATGCCTCCCCCAGCTCCAGCTGCCAGTCCCACCTTTGGGGCAAGGGCGGGAGGCATTCTCTGTGCCCCTGCTCCCCCAGTCCCTGCAGGTCCCTGGGGTCCTGCACGCCAGCCCAGCCCCAGGAGGCAGGTCTGCCCTGGAGCCCACAGGATGTTCCCTTGAGTTACCTTTCTGTTCCTGCCGGGAGAAGGCACAGGGAGGCTCTGTCGGGAAGGGGCGAGTGCCCAGGGCACGGGTGACAGTCCCCTCTGGACCCCGGCACTCGCCCTGCGGGAGCTTTACCAGCTGGCGGGCTGTGGAGGTGTGGCCAGGCACGCCCAGGCCAGTTCCACCACCTCACCCCTCCACGGGACACGCTTCTGACAATGCCCTCCCCGTGCCAGGAAGTGAAGAAAGGCTCCAGGCTCCTGACGTCAGCCAGGACTCGCCCTGCACGGGGTGGGGATGGAGCCGGGACGGGGCCAAGCGCCCAATGAGGTGCTCCCCGTCTGGCTCTGGCACCCGTGGGTGGGGACCGTGGCTATGAATAGCAGCGGG